GAGACCGATGAAAATTGGGAGTGGTTTTGCTTGAAGCTGAATAATACTCTTCTTACTCCGGCTTCCCTGTTTCTAGAAGCTTCACGTTTTATACGGACCGACATAGCGGGCTTCTTAAAGCCATCCCTATTGTTTTTCCCGACAGCCATCATGCTTATTGTTTGAGACACTTAGTCGATAACTTTAAGACACAGGTAATTTTTCACTAATTACTGTTTGTGCAATTTGTTTGCATTTTTTTTTTAGTTTAAATTTTGTTAGTACTATTCTGTTAGTACTATTCTGTTACATTTTGTTAGTGCAATTTGTGCAATTTTTTTTTATTTTTTATTTGCAATTTGTTTAGGGTTCATTAGTGATACTACTATTTTTACATTCAGTCATCATTTAGTAGGACATTCTGTTTATATTATTATTCATAATGTACATTCTATTCACTAATTATTCATAATGTACATTATGTTTACATTCTGTTAGGTTTTCTATTTTTATAAATTCTGTTTTTTCATTATAAAGCAGTTTCATTATTATTATTTTTTGTTAGTAGGTTTTGAAGAGCTACCCACTTAACAATAAGAAGCATTGGTCCTCGATTTTTAAGAAAGCTGCGTATGCTCCTACGAGGCAAGAGTTTGATATGCATATAAATAATATAGTGACTGTTATGCCTCTTTCTATAAAATTCCTTCCGGATTCTAACCCAAATTGTTGGGCAAATTCTTTATTTACCGGAGACCGTTGGGGGATCATGAATAATAATCAAGCGGAATGTTGGAATAATTGGGTGAAGTCGGCACGATTTATGCCTATCGTAGCCATGGTCGATCACATACGGAAGCAAATTATGACCATGATGTATGATCGACGTGAGGGTCACGGTTTAATGGCCCCTTGTGTCCTAAGCTCGAAAAAATAATTCCATCTCGCTACGATGCTTCTCGGAGTCTCAAAATCATGCAATCAAGTGAATGGAGGTTTGAGGTTGTTGATGCCGACAAAAGTTGTGACGTGGATTTGCAATCTCGCATTTGTTTTTGTAGAGAATGGCAAATATCTAAGATGCCATGTAAGCATGCATGTGCTTGTGTTG